GCGAGGGGCTGGCTGAGATGAATAACGATGACGTCTCCCCCTGGTGAAGGTATCAGTGTGTAGTCTGTCAAGTTCAGGTCCATCAAGTTCTCCACGTACAGCTCGATCATCTCTGTGGCCGTGTCGGGGTTGGTTCCCCGCAGCAACAATTTACGTTGGTCCTTTGAGGGGGGCTTTTTGACACGAAGTTCTGTGTTGAGCAGAACGTGGTGTCCCTTAGCCAGAACTCTGGCTGCAGCTGTCAAAGTATTCAAGCAAAAACAAACAAATTAGCACAGAAGCATCGCATCACTCAAACTGTACACGACTGTCTACATTCTAGATCACTTGTATTTTCTTTGGTGTTTCTAGACGTACAAACTGGTGTTCATATGATTTTAAACAGTCCAAGTTAAAATCTGCACATTTGTTTTTACTAGTAAGTTTAAGTCTTGAAACAACTTCTATTTTTTTATAGTTTGAAAGGAGATTTTTTTTTTTTTCCATTCATTCAACCTTTATTTATACAGGTTAGTCTCACTGAGCCTCGAGGACTCGTTCACAAGAGAGACCTGTTCACCTGAAACAGGAGAGGAACTTGTTCAAACAAAAGTAGTAATAGTGTACAAGACAAAAATGTTGGCTTGATTCTAACAAACTTAAATTCAACACAGTGGTCCCCTCGCTACTTCGTGGGTCATTTATCGCAGACTATCGCGGTTTTTCAAAATAAGACTGGACATGACACACAATTGGCTGATTGATGAATGATGACAAGATCGGCATGGAGTTGTTATTTAAAATAAATTATTTAAAATTATTTAGCACATCCTGCAGCTTTGTGTAGCCCATACAGCAGGATAAACTTCCTGCTGCAGCTGATCATCTAATCAGCTGGTCAGCGTGCAGAGCTGAGAAGTGGGCGTGGCCAAGAGCGCTTGCAGGTGGCAAAGAGCAGAGGAGGCAGGAAGCTGAAATCATGACATGCTGTGCTCTTTAGAGCGCTGAGTTTAGAAACATTGTTTAGAATATTGCAAGAGGGTGGGAAGGTTTTAAAACGTCTTTATATATATATATATATTTATATAAATAATAAAATAAACTACTACTTGTACTACTATTCCTACTTTGTGGTTTTTTTCACTTATCGTGGGGCTTCAGGGAACGGATCCCCCACGATAAACGAGGGACTACTGTACTTTGTTTATTCCTCAACACAGCCTGACGTCCTATAATGAACGCTGTCTTCAGCACTCAGCGCGGCTTCTTGAAGGACTTTCTAATGGAGATGCATCAATCCACTCGTTTTTTCACTTCCGATCCGATCCTGCGGTTTCGTCTCGGTCGATACGTCCGATACTGATCTGATGCAGAAAAACGGTGCTGAATGAACAAAAATGGCTAAATCATGTCAACACACCAAGAGCTTCACAAGCTCGGTCAAACATGTAAAATCAACACACTTTAATTTGTTCAGTCCGTTTGCTAGCGCGTGACGTCACAGAGCACAAAGCGTAGAATCAGAGTGAATAGATCTGCCCAGTCATGGATCGTCACGTTGTCACCGATACACGAAACTTGCCTTCCGTCTCTTCAAACACCAGTACAGCATGGTTGTCTTTCTTCTTCACAGACTCCAGGAGACCTCCCCCTGAGCGCCGACGGTTCTCAAAGTAGAGATACAGCAGCTCCTCGTCCAGTCCGTCAGGAAGGTCCAGCACCTCCACGGTCCTCTCCTCTACGCTTTCACCAGACATCCTAAAAACACACAGCGCCAACGTTTTATTACCGACTCCGCATTATTAAACAATGCTGAAAATCTTTTCAGCTATAAGAATTACACAAATTAAATCATGTTCAGGGAGAATAAATACCATGGATGGACATTAATGTTGGATGAATTAAAAAGCTGTCATTTGTTCTCATCAGTAAACTACATGAAGGATCCAAACTGCTGTGTCTTTGCTCAGGTTTCCAGTTGTGAAACAGGATGAGGCTTCGTGTTGCCAGACAATTTCCAGTCAATGTTTTATTGTGTTTTTTTTTTTACGTGGCTGAGAAACTGATTTCCGTCTGCTCTGAAAACCGACTACCAAAACATTCTCTTATCTCCACGTGGAGGCCGACTCGCCGGCAGCCATGGATCATGTCTGGACGTCTGACTGCAGCTGGTTATGAGGGAACGCCCGCTGGACCCTGCTGCTGGAGAAAAGTCTGCAGCCGACTCTGTTCCAGGCTCATTCTGTGACATGCTCCATGCATTTTGTATCTGTGGATGTAATCCGTCTTGAATGAGTCCTTTAAAGTACAAAGGACGGTTAAAAATCTTCTCCTGTCGAGAGAGGGTATTTTTGGATAAACAACGTCAATCTTCCCGACAATCTTGGGTCAACATTTTCACCCAAGGGCAGCAGGAAGATGAAAACAGCTCCAATTTAAAAATTTCAAAGTGAATTCATGCAAAGACTATTTTATAATCCTTTACATTGTTGTCAGTTCCACAGGAAGAAGTTCTTTACAAGGACTTGAGGTCATTTCCTGTGCAAACAGCAGCAGCTAGTTGTAGCACTTCTGGTGAAGCCTGGGGTGAAAGCTAGAGAAATAAAATCCATCCATCCATGATCTTTACCCGCTTCTTCCTTTTCGGGTCACGGGAGTCGCTGGTGCCCATATCCAGCGGTCAGTGTGTGAGAGGCGGGGGACACCTGGACAGGTCTCCAGTCCATCACAGGAGGTCGTGTCACATTTCATCCAACTTTTATGTCAGTAAGGTTGGGGAATATGTGGATCAATCCAAGTATTAATATCACTGATACCAACCTCGTGCAGATTAAATGCTGGAACTTCACGTCTTCAGGTACAAATCTTTGTTCTGGTCATTCATCATGTCCTGGATGACTGAGAATCTACAGCAGTGATCCTCACTATTTTTATCAAAAGAGCCATATTGACAGATCAAGGGGAGAGACACGATATCACCCCAAGTCACTCAAATAAAAGAAAAAATTAAACGACCCACCTATGAACAAAAAAGAAACAGCCAGCACTTTATCTGTTTAAACAAAATGTACCTCAGCTGGTGCTGGTTTTATCTACAATCAAGGAAGTCGTCAGCAGCAAATTTGGACCCGATCACGCTGCTTGCCTTCATGATGGCTGGGTTCATGTCTCGAGTACTCGGACTCAAATGCTTTGGGCTGAATGGATCAGATCTTGGGATTTTTACTCAGACACGTTTCCATCGGTGTGGCCATGTTAATTTGGACATTTCAGAACCGAGTGGACCGACACAGACTCAAGGTTGATGTCATTAAGTTCTGCCTGTCCCCAAAACAACTGTGTGTTTATCTAAATTTGGTCGCCTTGGTCCTTGAAGGACATCTTATCTAAAGTCGCCTGGAGAACATGTGATCTGACGCTCACCACCCCCTCCCTGAGGAAATTCCAACTGATAACCAGATGAACCAGCTGAATAAACTTGTGTCATCATTTCAGGACTCTTGGATTCTCATAGAGGTTATTCTTGGCCATTCCTCGACATACCTCGAGAATGTTTATGGATCTCACCGGAGGACATTGACTGATTACAGTGACCTCGAGAGCATCTGTAGACGTTGTTGACCGCTCTCGTCTCTTCCTTCTTATGCTCTGCAGAATGTCTACGTAAATATGTGCTTGTTTGTGCAAAGTGTTTTTTCAATATTAGGGGTTTTTCTCAGCCAAGAAAAAAGTCTGATAGGAATTTTTTTCGCCTCCAACTCCTACATGTGTCCAGTTAACCACTGTTTTTTTGTCTGTCCAAACAGGTCTCACCTGTAAATGAGTCTTCGAGGCTCAATGTGATTTATCTGTTTAAATAAAGGTTGAATGAATGAATGAACCTTAGTACTGAGATAAGAAGCTGTGGTGCATGTCCTTGACTTTCTTCATGTTGCATTTGTAATTTGTTGCAGCCACAGTGAGACATTCAAGATGGACACGGGTCAGTCGGTTTCTCAGTTTTTGCTTGATAGTGTTCATGGTTGAAAATGTTCACTGTGTAAAAATTTCAGCTTTTAGCCATTATTATATTATTATTATATTATTATACCCCAATCGTAAGAAGAAAACACAAGTCAACAATAACAATGAATACCAAAGTCCATGCTCAACAATGAATTCTTCAAAATGTTGCAGAATTGCTCCGCTCAAGGTGGCTGCATGTTGGAGCAGCTCTGTTACTTTCATTCTGAGATTTTGCTTTTGGAAACTTTAATTCCTCTTTTTCTGGATGTAAGTGACATTTTTTGGATGATTGTTTCCTCTGGTATCAGATGCTGTGCAGCTGGAAAGATTTTTACTGAAACTTTTTTAGTTTTGGACATATGTTATGATGCGTAACCATGGCAACAAGGCAGTTTTCTACAACCAACTGCAGCTGATTAACATCTCAAAAGCTCAAATAATATCTCAGCTACAACCCCAAATTTCAAATGAGTTGAAAAGGATGTTCTGTGGATGCATTCTCGTCTACTTGCCAGCTGTGCTCGAGTACCTGACCACTGAGATCCTGGAACTAGCAGGAGACACGGCTCATGACAGCGGAAGGACAGGATCGTCCCTCAGCACCTACAGTTGACTGTCCACAGTGACGAGGGGCTCAGCAGACTGCTGGGAGGCGTGGCCATCGCTCTGGGAGGAGTTCTGCTCGGCATTCGGGCGGTCCTAAAACCCGGGGAACTGAGAGGCCAGCAGAGTCTGGGTGGACGGATCAGACGGCATCTGCAGCCAGTTTCTTAGGATCCACTGTGGGATGGACCTTTACAAGAGATCCTTCCTGCCTACATCCATCAGCATCTAGAACATCTCTCAATGAAATGAGGATAACGAGTTACAACATCAAATAATTTCCCTTTGGGATTAATAAAGTATTTTTGAATTGAATATGCTGTAATATGTGTACGGATGAAGATGCCCCTTCACATTTCCACCTGCCCCCTCATGTAGCCATGCCTAGAACCGGCCCTGTAAGATGCTCCTACTTCCTTCACCGCAGATGACAGCAGGTGAGGAGACACGTGCAGCCGGGAGCTGATCCATCTGAGATTAACAGGACATTTTTTATGTCTTTTGACCGGCGGGTCAGCGGACTCATGCAACTGGTGATGATCAGCTGATCCATCTGAAGCTTAACAGGACTTCTTCTTTTTTTTTTTTTTACCTATACCGGCCAATCGGACCTGCCTCCTCCTCAACAAGTAGATTAACACAATATTATTTGTAAAACCGCATCAAAGAAGCCCGAGCCGACATGCGGCAGCACGTTTTAAAAATGTACTGGCTGTGCTGGAGTATTGTTGTAACCTGTCACAAGAGCCACCAATAAAGCACGGCGAGCCGCACGTGGCTCGGGAGCCGCGCAATGAGTATCCCTGATCTACAGCAACATCGGATATGAATGTTGTTGTCGCACCGTATAGACACCAACAGAATGAGATCGATACGAGAGTTTCTTTCACTCTCAGCACATCGCTCCCGCTCTAGATAAACAACGTTGCACCGTTCAAACGTAAACACTGAACCAAACAATCGCGTCAGATAATTTAATCAGTTCTGACTGTACAACTTCAGAATCAATGCACAAGCTACAGGTCTCTCTTGTAAATGAGTCCTCGTGACTCAACGAGACGTTCATGTTTTGGATCAATCTTTAGTTTATTGTTTGTTTGTCATATGCAGGTCAACAACGCAATGAAATGTTCTGGATTAGAAGAACCGTCTCAACTCGCTAAAAAAACAACAAGAACTACTAAAGCATGCAATAAAGTACCAAAAGTGAAAAGAAATATAATACAGGTCCAAATAACTATAGTAAACATGGTAGAATATTACTGTGCAAGTAGGATGACTCAGTATAAATAAGTATTTCACAGGTATGTTTAAAGCAGCTGCAATCTAAACTCTTTTCTTCCAAACTGAGGTTGGTTAAAGGATTATGTAAAACAGGTAAGATGTTTACTGTTCGTGACTTTTACTACCTGCTCTGTGAAATCTATTCATTTTAAAAAGCTCATTTTGTGAATTTAGAGAAACAGCAAATGCACTTTCAGTCCTGTCACAACATTTACTCCCAAGAGGTCCTGACAGATGACTCTGAGCCGGAAACTTTCTTTGGGGGCCTTTTCCTCACGTAACTTCAAGTATTAGTCCACATTTAATGCATTTCTTTGTAGGAACTAGCTTGAATACTTTGAGGCCTGTTGACATGTTGACGGCCTGTCCACTTCATTTAAAGAGCAGATAAGACGGAGCTTCTTACTTCATGAGATGAAACAACATCTCTGACAAACAGTCTGTGTGGACAAGTTTGTCTTTTGTGCGGTTTAATAAAAGTGTCGTGTTCTCAAATGGAAAGAGAAACGAGCAGCTCCGCTTTCACTGTTCACACTAAACTTAATGCGTTTTGAAAACACTTTATAAAAGTAGACAAGAAAACTAACACTGCACTCAGTGGTTACGCTATTTTAAAGAATTACTTGTTTGTTTGTTTTACAATTGAAAAACAGTTTGTTGTCCACTGTTGTCATCACTCTTTGTTAAAATCCAGGTCTCTCATGTAAATGAGTCCTATTGGCTCAATGGAACTAACCTGTATCAATAAAGGTTGAATGAATATAAATATATACATAATGATTTAATCAATCTTTTATTTATACAGGTTGGCTTCATGGAGCCACAAGGACTCATTTACAAGAGACCTGCTCCAGACAGAACAGTA